TCCCCTCGCCCTCTGCTAATAACCTTTAGGTTATATAACTGTAAGTAGTTCAGACTTAGACATCTTGACTTCAACTATTATAACGAGCCTCAACTGTCTTCCTCCAGCCGCCTCTATCTCTATTAGTCTCCTCTATTTCTCACGCTATATTTAATCTACACCTATCTTCCTCTCCTCTGCTATTTAGACGTCTACGCTGTGAATAATATCTTCCGCCCTGCTACGCAGTCTCAACGAAGAGCCCTACTACTATTAGCTATACTCTTAATATTAGATTCACCCTTCCCAACTTACTAACGTTTAAGCCCTCAGGCCGCTTTAGCTATCTTGAGGAAGTTTATAAGGTATTTATAAGTATTAGGATTATTATTAGTAGCCTTAACTATCTCTATATCGATCTTAAGGCTATATAACTCTAGTATATTACACTTATTAGCTATTTTAAGTAGGTACTTCTAGGTGAATTTAAGTAGAGTCTTCTTAATAATATAAAGAAGGTTACTATACTTAGAGCCTTTAATTTTATTTACTTTAGTTTTATAGATTAAGTTATCTAAGGTAACCTTACTTAGCTTATATATAAGTATAATAAGGGAGAAAGATATTATAGTTATTATATATATAGGAGGATATAAGGAATAGGCTTAAGGCCTTATTTAAAGTAGTAGTTAAGTTCTTATACTATAGCTATAAGAACCCTTTTAGCTATATAAAGAGTTACACTATTAAGTTTACACTCTTAAGTATAGGTTTAAGCTATTACTAAGCTCTAGCTACTATAAATGCTATTAGCATTCCACGTTATAAATAACACCTTCATAACGTTACAAATAACGTTCTCACAAATAATAGCGTTATAAATAACGCTCTTATTAGTACGTTTTACTGCTCTACTACTTACCCACCTACCCTCTTCTACTAAGGATAAGTTAAGCTGAGAGTTAATAACTAGTTATACTAAGATTTATTTATTTACTTTATTAAGATTAAGTATAGGTTAAACTACTACTATTAGGTTTAAAGTATAGGGAAAAAAAAGTATAGAGTAAACTATAATACCTACTTATATAGGTTAACCAGACTGCTAATATAATCTTCTATAGATTTAAAGTTATCTAAGGAGGTATTAAAAAACTCTTTATAGGTTAAAAACTTATTTATAAAACTTATAGGCTTATATAGAGACTTTAGATAATTCTAAGTTATATAAGTATCTTTATTATCTTTTATAACCTTAAGTAAACTATTATTATAGAATAACTATATATAACTTAAAGCTTTATAGTTTTTATCTAAATTATCTTTAGATATAGACTTAGTAAGGTTTATAGTAATATTTTTATTATATAGTAAAACTTTTATATATATAACCTATACTTTATAGTTCTTAGAACTTATAAATTTAGGGAACTAAACCTTAAGATTAATTATTATTACCTTATTACTATATAATATATAGTTATAAACCTTATAAAGGTTAAATAATAATAAAGTTATATAACTAAAAAGCTATTATATATATAGTATAGTAGTTCTTATAGTAAAGTTATAATAGTTATAAACCTAGAGGGTTAAGGTTTAATTAATAAAAAGAGTAGTTTTTATTCCTTCTCTTTAATTAATATCTTCTTTAGTTAGACTTTTATTAGACTAAGGAGATATATATCCTATATAGTAAATTAGTTAAGAGGAAGTCTATTATACTATAAATATAGGTCTAAATTAACTTAAGAGTAAACTAGAGGATAGTTTAAAGAAATAATCTAAAAAATATAGATTAAATAAAGTAGTAATAAGAGACTATCTACTTAAAGAAGGATTAATAGAGGTATAGTTAATTTATATAAGATTAATTATATAGATTTATAAGAGGTATATCTTATAAAACTAAACTATTAATCTAATTAGTATATTAGTTTCTATATAGGTAGTATAGATAGAAAAACGTTTAAAGAATTAATTTTTAATATATATAACCCTTAAGTAGAGGTAAGGCTTTATAAGTAAATAGGGGAGAAATAAAGAGGTAGAAGGAATAGAAGTTATCTTTAAACTAAACTTATAACCTATTAATATAGGTATAAATATATTTAGAGGTATAGTATATATACCTATATAGTATAAGGTTATAGATAAACTTATATTATAATAAAAGGTAATAATCCTAAGTATTTATAGGTATTTAATTATATAGATAATAATAAGGGAATTAATATATTATAATAACTTTAGTTATTATTACTTATAGGTTTCCTCCTCTAGTAGGGAAAAATGAGGGGAAAGATAATCTAAAATATAACCTACTAAACTACTAATTATATAAAGTACTTAT